AATGTGTTGTGAAGCAAGCTAATGAAAATGAATAAAAATTACACTCAGACATTTTAAGTGTATAGATAATTTTTGGAGCCTCTGAATACATATATTTATTGCATACTAAGTGAAGTGTTAAGTTCTGATGTTTTTTTTCACGAGTTAGTCCACCTTAAGGTACAATGGTAATCATGAAAACAAGGTTTGATGGGAAGATACAAGCTATTACTTCAAATGCTTAGCAAAAAGGCCTGGCAAACAAGTGCATTATCTGCTCTTCATATTCCAAAGATGCCATTAGTACAGTTCAATTCCCAGTAATAATCTGAGAATTTGTGTGTTGGGATGTGCTGGCATATCTGATTTAATTAGTTAAATTAATGTCAAATCTGTCATGCAATGCATCAATAGAGCCTTTGGAAGGTCAGCTTGGCTAATGGAAGCCCTCATTAACGAGAACACAAAAGTAGCATTGTGTTTTTGTCTATACGAGTGTTTGAGTCCATATCGTGTGTGTGCACCTGCTCTGGGCTTAGCCGCATTGTGTTTATTAGTGTGCACAGGGTCGTGTGTATTTTTTTTAGAACAGATTGAAGTTTGTTGGCCAGACAACAGAAGATGCACTGCTGGTCTGATTATCCAGCTTTTCTAATGGCCGCTGTGCACCACTGTGTGCTATTTGTGACAAACCGCTGTGATTAAGTTTATGGATGATTAATTAGAACATATTGTGTTGCTTTACTGTCAAAGCTAACTAAGGTGTTATCTTACACCTACATATGTATTTCATGCCAATTAAAAAGGGATGAGATTGTGGTAAGTGTGTGTTAATTAGATGTAAAATCCACAGGGAATGCTTTCCTATTATGGGCCTATACGCAGAATAACTAAAGCTCTGTGGAATATTTAGTTACACAAGACTCAGATGGGATGCAACTAACTCGGCAAGCTGATCTTTGTAATTAACTGAGCTGTATCATTATATCATATTGCTTGAATGCATTTATTTTAACTTTAAGATGTTAAGTCATTAACATCAGAATAGTGGTTGAATATCATAAAATATTCTGGAATCTTTAGTTCTTTTCTACAACCTAGTGAGCTGAATATCTAGTCAACTCATGATTTTACCCATTTTATTTCTGTATTGTGAAGTATTTTACAGAATGCATTTCGAAAAGCTAAGAAAATAATTTAAGATGGAGGATGAATCAAAAGAAATGTAAATATAATATAAATATACATACATTTGATTCAAAACTTGTAAGTATTGAAAAAAATTGAGACATATTACAATTATTACAAGTATTTAATCCAAAATGTATGTGTGCTGTGTATTTTATGTGTTTTTATGCTTATTATAGGTCAAGTCTAATGTAAGTGTATAGCACTTTTCACATTACTTCGAAGTAGCTTTACAGACAATCATTATGTTAATGTTTATAATATATTAATATCTTTATGCCTTGTCGCATTTAGCAGATTAGAACTGGGCAATAATATAGATTACATTTTTAAAACTATACAACCAATCAAGAAACTGGGATTTGCTAAATAATATATCTCACCCTACACAAGTATACTGTATGTTTGCGGATACAGCATACTGGTGATATATGGATATAGTAAATCAATTCAGGAAGTTGTGTCTCTTGTGCACTTCACATGAATAGCGCTATTTTGCGTGCCATGCAGAGTTGCCTATGTAAAGCAATCAGTCTCCATTTCATTTGGGCTGCCTTTTGTGTTGTGGTACATGTTCATTTGCAGTTCTGTTCTGATTGTGAGCCTTACATGCATAAGAAACACAAAAATGTATGAGTCCTGTATATAAGCATACAGGATTATAGCTTTACTCACTCTTGTCCACTATTGTACAGCAATTTATGTAAAGGCTTTTATTCTATACTGTCCATTAGTACAAATAAGACTCTTTTATGTTCCATGAATAAACATTGTGATTCAGGACTTTAATCCTCATGGCTTCATATCTGTTTGATGAACAGAAACACACTGCAGATGATGACTCACTAGAGGCCATGTGCTCTGCACTCCGAATGGATGAATTTTCAGTGTAGCTCTAGATGAAATAAACAATGATCTTATTTTTAAAAGGGTCATGAAATGCATTTACAGATCTTATGTTGTGTTTCTTGACATTAGCTTATCAAGTTAAGTCAAATTCTTAAGTCAAGCCTTTCTGTTATAAGGGCTCAAAAGCCAAATGACTTTCTAAGACGAAGAAGAGGAAAACGTCTAGGTTATCTATTGTAATCTTTCGTCAGTGACTGACAAATTGGGATCTCGCCTGAGAGCCCTATCACCTTCAAGTGTCAACAGAACCGGCCAATGGACATTGGCGAGTGAGATTTGCATCACGAACCACGCCTGTGTTGCGGGTATAAGGAAGCGTGCAGTACTCACCCATTCAGTTTTCGCTGAGGAGCCGAGCCAGTGCCCGGACGCTCAGCGATGGACACAGGGATTGTGGCGACGGGATGGAACGTCTCCGTTCCCTCCTTCATGTTATAATAGGTAACCTAGACATTCCCATTCAGTCAGTCACTACGAGTTACGTCAGTGACTGTCGAAATGGGGTGCCGTGCCCTGTCCCTGAGCAAAATGATCCAGGGGAATGAGCCTGGGAGCCTGATTCCCAGAACTCGCGAGAAACACGAGTTCTGAGAATCAGGTCCGGATTGGCCAATACAGCGCAACCAGCAAGACCTGCTCCTCGTCCTCCCTGACCTTGCACAGGGTCTGGGCGAGTAGGCTCACTGGGGGAAACACATACTTGTGTAGGCCCCGGGGCCAGCCTCCAAATCAGCTGGATCACCTGGGGGTGGAGCCTCGAATCTTCCGCGAGTGTGAGCTTTCGTGAGAGCGTTTCGGCTGCATGATTGAGCTTGTCCGGATGCTTGTCCTGCAGCCACGGTAGAAACCGGCGGAGGGCAAGGAATACTGCTAGCAACTCGAGGCAATAGATATGTCAATGCAGTCGAGGTCCTGTCCACGAGCCCGAGGCAGAATGCCCGTTGCACACGTGGAGGCATCTGTTGAGACAACAACATGCTTGGACACTTGTTCTAGGGGGATTCCGGCCCATAGAAAAGCAAAGTCTGACCATGGGCTGAAAGCTTGGTGGCAAGTCGGAGTGATGATCACTTGGAGCGAACCACGGTGCCATGCCCATCTCGGGGCCCGGTTGTGTAGGCAGTGCTGAAGCGGTCTCATATGAAGCAAACAGAGCGGCGTGACCGCGGCTGCGGATGCGACATGCCCCTGGAGCCTCTGAAATCATTTCAGTGGAACTGCTGTCCTGCCTTTGAATGAATTCAAGCAGTTCAGCACTAACTGAGCACGCTCGTTCGTGAGACGACCAGTCAGGTTGACCGAGTACGCGTCCTTCAGGTCGATTGCTGCAAACCAATCCTGAGAGCGAAAGCATTCGAGAAGGCGTTTCTGCGTAGCATTTTGAACGGAAGCCGATTCAAAACACGCAGATCCATGATTGGTCGAAACCCACCACTCTTCTTGGGTATCTTGCACTAGCAAGGCTCCCAGACACCGAACAAGCAGGACGAGAGGGACCACTGTCGATAGAAAACGGGGGAGGAAGCGTCGTTCTATGATAATTTGGATAAAATGGATAATTGGCGCCAACATGCTTCCATACTGACAAAGTTCTTTATGCACATCTGGGAAGAAAGGCACATCTGGGAAGAAAGGCACAGGGTGGGGTAAGGCGCTTTCCATGTTGCGCTCCGCCCCCAGAAACCAATCATACAGCAGCGATCGCTCAGAACGAATCCGAATGCGAATGCGGCCCGGCAAGTATGGCTGTCAACTCAATCTGATTCAGCATGAGCACAAACCATTACAGTTTACCTGACGGAAGCGCCCTCGCTGAATCCTCGGTCTTCCCAGGTGTTGAGCAGACACACAGCTGTGTTTTTACACACAAGCAGCAGCTGGGCAACAGCAAAGGGGACTCGAGCCTTTACGAGAAAGGTGAGTCGCGACCAGCGTGCCGACATGGTCATGTTCTCATGCGAGAACATTAATTAATGACAGAAATTTCATTTTTGGGTGAACTTATATGTATTTGCTGATCATTTTGTCAACTTTTTAAAGTAAACTTGCATATAGATGCCCTAACAGACATGACCTAAAGTCACTAAATTACAGATTTTGAGAATGAGTCGTTGGGAACTGAGGAGGACATTCTGAAAGTACATTAAGTATAGTATATTTGCGTATAACGTTAAACTCTTATATTTTATAAGACTAAATAAAATGCAATTTTTTAAAGATATTACAACAAGATCAATGTCTTGAAAACATATTTCCTTGAATTGTTATCACTGGTTTACAAATTCTGCTTTGTAGTATTAAAGGGATAGTTCACTTTGAAATTAATTTTTGGTATGTTTTAGCTTACCTCAAGGGCATCCAAGATGTAGGTGTCTTTGTTTCCGCAGTAGTTTCAATTTTGATATTTTTAGGTCAAACCGTTCTTGTCTGTCAGTCATATAATGCAGGTCTATGGTAACTTCCTCAAAGAGCATGCACAGAGAAGTCAAAATTAAACATGACTTAATGACTCGTAAATGTAAGTACACATTGATGGCCTAAGACACGAAACGAGCGGTTTGTGTGAGAAAACGAACAGTATTTATATTGTTTTTACCTCTTGTATCCACAGCCACGTCCAAGTGATCTGAGGGCGCGGGCGCTTCGGTCTGCGCAATGTGTACTTACATTTATGAGTCATTAAATCATGTATAATTTGGACTTCTCTGTGCATACTCTTTGAGGTGGTGACCATAGACCTGCATTATATGACTGACAGACAAGAACGGTTTGACCTAAAAATGTCAAAATTGAAACTACTGCGGAAACAAAGACACCTACATCTTGGATGCCCTTGAGGTAAGCTAAAACATACCAAAAATTAATTTCAAAGTGAACTATCCCTTTAAAGGATGCACAAAACAACTAGAAAATGTATAGCATACCTCTTTTTTGACAGCTTCATTCTCCACTCTCCGAAGGTTCCTCTTCACCTTCAAGTATTCGGCGGACGCTTCCTCCTCAGGTGGTTTGGGTGGGGGGTAGGCAGGTGGCGGGGGTGGTATATGGGAGGAATCGGACGGAGGTGGGGGTGGGGGAAACGTTGGAGGGGGTGGCAGGTGTGAAGGGTCTTTTGCATTCTGGGAGCTTCCTGCTACATCAGGGTTCAGCATGTCCATATAGGTCTGCATGTCTGTAATTGTCGAATCTGCACCTCCTGCAATCAAACATGTTTCTTTAATAATATATATTGATTTAGTCAAACATCAAAAAAATCTTATAGAGTAAATAAAATATAATGTAGTGTAATGTAAAACATTTATGTTATTACCATATTATTATAAAAATTATATTTTCAATGTGATATTTACAACATTATAAATATAGTCTCTTATAATCTTGTCACTAAATTGTTTGTATTCACTGCAGTTTTTTCTACTTTTACTCAGTTAGATGGTGTGTTATTTTTCATGTATCTATTTATTATGTAATTTTAAAATTCTTTCTTTCTTACGTGGATATTTCATTTTAGCCACAGAAGTGAATGACTAACTATGGTAACTGTAATTGTTTCCCTCAATACTAATCCACGCCCACCGAGGCAGAGCTATGGATACTACTATGTTGAGAAATATTTTATATAATATATTATGTAATATATTTTACATAATATCTAATATATTTAACTTATTATTATTATTATTATTATCATTCAATAATATTATTAATTTTCAGTTCTTGTTTAATAAACGTGTTCATTTTATTTATTTATTTTAGTCCTTGGAGTCTGCCACACTTGGAACAACTCATTGCATCTTATTTTAAAGATTAGCAAAATGCATTCTATATTTATGAAAGGTATTCACAGTGCTTACTCCAATCACGATGTCCACCTAATAATTAATATTCACTATACCTATAATAGTCGAAAGTCTGGACACACCTCATTCTTAATTGTTACCACTGTTCGACATTTTAGAATAATAATCATTATAAGTAATCAAAACTATAAACACAAAATGTAAGTATGGGAATGTTGTAGTGGTGAACATTTTTTAAATAAATCAAAAGGTTTTATTAAATTCAGTCATGTGTGTCCTTCAGTCAACTTCTGACTGCTAGTGAAAGTATAAAAATCTATACCACTGTTTCAACTATTCCTGTTTCAAAATGTGTCCACTAGAGGACATTACTGGGAAGGCTCACAGCATGTTTCCTGGGCAATGCTATGGCAACATGGTTCTGAATGAGTTCTGCTTCAGCGAGCTCAGCTTTTCCCACCATTGTTAAGACAATGCTTCAATCATACTGCACTGAGCAAATATGCGCAATGAACATGGGGTATTTTCATTTTAAAGAGAGGAGTTCTATTCAAAACACAGGAATGCAGGAAATGTGAAGAGAACATTTTGTATCAAGTTAATGATACATATGATAAATGGTTCAAAAGGTTCAAAGTATGGGGTTGGTAAGTTTTTTGTTTGTTTTTGAAAGAAGTCTCATATGGTCATCAAGCCTGCATTTTTATCAAAAATACAGTAAAAACTGAATTTATTTTGAAATATTATTACAATTTAAATGAACTGTTTTCTATTTTAATATATTTTAAAATTATTCCTGTGATGGCAAAGCTACATTTTCAGCATCATTACTCAAATCTAGTGTCACATGATCCTTCAGAAATTATTCTAATATGCTGATTTGGTGCTCAAGAAGCATTTTTTAATGTTATCAATATTGAAAACTGTTGTGCTGCTTAATATTAAACCGTGATGCATTTTTTTCAGGATTCTTTGATGAGTAGAAAGTATAAAAGAACAGCATTTATTTGAGACAGAAATCATTTGTAACATTATAAATGTCTTTACTGTCACTTCTCACAGTGTCATATCAAATGACTGATATGTTGGCTATAAATGTGTGTTTCTCTGACCTGTCGGAACTCTTGAGGGAGGCGTGCCACTCCTTTTCTCTCCAGTACTGGATTGGCTGGAGTTTGCAGAGTCGTAATTGGACAGCGAGCTGGAGGGCGAGCAGATGTCAAAGTGGGCTGCAGGGGGGGCTGGGGTGGGCAGGGTGGCGTTGGGAGAGGAGAGGCCCGAGTCAGGTTGCTTATACTCCAGATCTGCCGAAGGGTCGCGTGACAAGACTCTGTGTTCCACACTCTGAGATGAAAGCTAGTGTTATTGTTAGGCATAGATTAGTGGCACTTATTTGGCAGGTTGACCTTAAAGATGCCTGTAACTCTTTAATGAACTCTTTGAGAGTGCTTAAAGGAATAAATTCCTTTTGATAAACAAAAAGTTAATTACAGGCAGTAACAAATGAGATTGCAGCTGATGAGGTGGCAAGAAACCACATCACTACACTGGGGACATGCAATTATTCTCTACACACTCACAACAATCTACTTATAATGTATAGCCTACATGTACAATTAGAGGTGCACTTTGTTGTTCCTTATTAAAGTTTTACACATACAGAAAGGAATAGTACTTAAAATGTGGCTAAAGTTTTGTGCACACAATAAGAATTTAATCTTTTATATTGGTAATCCCATAATTGAACACATTCATTATTCAAAAAATGAATAAAAAGGAATTTACCAGAAACAATATATATATATATATATATATATATCATATTTTGTAGTACTAAGATTGTAAACAGAAATATGAAAGCATATGTGATGAGAATTTAACATTTCTTTTGTTGTACATCCCTTGTTTAAGACTGTGTGTGGTTGTGTTTGTACTGTATCTCACCATGTTTTCGACAGTGCGGAGGTACTTGGCACACTGTTGATGCCCGTTGTATTCAGCTAGGTCTGCTGCTGAGAATCCATCCTGGTCCCGTAATCCCATATCCACTCCATTAACTACCAGAATTTGACAGCACTACACAGAGAAAAACACATTTATATTAACACCCAGATAATCTGGGACTGCTTTATTAAATATATTTACTGCTGTCTGCTAAAGCAAACATTACTACTTCTATTGCTCATTCTTAAGGTTAGGGATATGAACAAACCCTTTTTTAAATTATGGAGCATAATTGGACATCTATATATTATACACCGAGTTTTGAGAAAATGCTGCTTAAATATATAATATTTTTGACTGATTTGATAATGCTTCCAACTATCAGTACTTAGTCAAGTCACCTTCATTTATATAGCGCTTTTTACAATAGAGATGGTTTCAAAGCAGCTTTACAGCGATAATAGGAAATTAATGGAACAAAGATTGTTTTAGTTGTACTGCAGCTCTAGAAGAAAGTCATTGTCCGTTTTTCATTAATTCATTTCAGTTGTAAAAATCATTAGTTATTAACTTAGGGGCAGTGTACACAACACCGTTTTCAACAGAAAACAGATCACTTTTAATTCTTTCTGGCCATTCATTTACATGACAACAGTAATTTGGTGGCCTGAGAACTTAAGTTTGAAGTAGGTTTCAAAGTGCACATTTTTGAAACCAAGTTTTGAAAACGATACCGTCATCATCACCGTGTAAACTTCAAAAACGTAAATCTGTGAAAACGGTGATGGCATGCACATACGTATTTCGTGTTTAGTCTATAGCTATGCGTGTTTGAATGCATATAAGCGTTAGAATTGTCTTTCTTTACAAAGTGACATTGCCAAATTACTTGTCTGGCATGCATAATACAGTGTTTTTAGTCGTTTCCGCAGATCCATGTGGACGGGAATCATTTTGAGAATGTTTTTATCTGTAGAGGGAAAGGGAAGGGGAGGAAGCCAGAGGAGGCCTTCGCAGGGGATAGTCTAGTTGACACGGTCTCTGCTGACACTTCAGGGCTGCGTTGTGTTCGTGTCTAGGCACAGGTCCTTCATCTGATCTGGATACTACAGTGCTACTATCTATATCAATACTTCTATCGATACAATAGTACTCAGCTCTGAGTATTCCACAGCCTCTTACACAGAATTGTGCACATATTTTCGCCTAAACATCATCAGTTAAAAGAGTGTGTGCTCTTCCTGTAGGGTGTGAATGTTTGTCTGTTGACATTTGAGAGTTTGAGAAAGACAGTTGAGTAAAGTATTAGTGGTTTTAAAATATATGCAGTAAAAGGGTACTTTTAATGACAGCTGTCATGCGTTAAGCCCTCAGGTGGAAAACAAGAGACAATACTCTCTGACTGTTTCTGTGCCTCACTTTTTCTGTCAACTACCCTCAGACGGATCATGTTACAATGAATAGTATGCCGTGCTTCTGTGCAAATGTCTATGCTTTCTGCAACCTGCTTTACAATAATCTCATATAAGTTATGACATAAAAACACTTTTGTTTTACTTTTTTTTTTTTTTTACTAATTCTGTATTAAGAATGTATTTATTTTAATAATAATAAATTGTTATTTTAAAGGTTCCTAATTTTGTTTTGGAAGTCTCCTACAATTGTCAACTTGATGTGGTAAACAAAAAAACACAGGAACACAGGAAATAGAAATACAAGCACAAAATGAAAAATAACAAGTGCACTAACAAATCCTTCTGAAAGGCAAATCCCTGCACCACAAACAGTGCAGCTGTGTACAGTGAAGGGGGGTTCTTGGAGGTGGATAAGTAGCTGGCGATGTACAGGGAACTGGAGAAGCCGGCAAAGGGGGGGTGGAGTCCTGATGGACATTTCAGGCAGTGGCTGGGGGCCGACTGACAAATGCAAAGTCAGAAGAGGTGAAGACCCAGATGGAGCTGATGGTGCGACAGCCCAGGGCGATATCGCAGCCCCAGAAGTCCAAGGCCTGCGGACCAAGGTGGAGACGGGAGCCCAGAAGACCGGAGTGAGGACATAGGAGGAGCTGGAGGGAAGGAGGAGCCCAGCAGAGCCGAAGGGGTGGAGGGCTGAGGCACAGCCGGAGGCCCGGAAGTCCACGATGCAACCAGAACCAGGCCCTAGGGATGACGGATCACAGTATAGTCGATGGAGCACAGAGCCAAGGCAGAGCCGACAGGCCAACCTGGAGCCATGAGCCTAGAGGCCTGAGGTGCAGCCTGGTGATCAGCAGCGAGGGCGGAGCAAAAAAGCAAAGCAGGTGAGTCCATGGATGTGGACTGTGCCAGCGGAGAGGATGAGAACAACAGGATGGGCAGAATATAGGGAGGGACTGGGTTGAGAAGGAGAGAATCCGGGGTTGGGGACATGGGTGGGAGCTGGTTCCATGGTCCGAAAGATAATGAGCCAGTGCTCCTTCTCTGGTTCTGAGCTGGACTGCTCAGACGGCGCTGACACCTGGGTGGACCTGTTGACAGGCTCTGGCCTTGGGACGGATCTGGAGATTGGCTTTGGCTCCAGGACAAATTCTGTGGCTGGCTCTGTCTCACTCTGGGCTGAGAAGATGAGTCCCATCTGGACCGGTCAGAGAGATGGCTGGTGGAGGTTGTACTGGTTCCGGGGAGTCGGAGATGATAGTGTATCCTTCAACGACTCCCTCGATGAGGGAGGATCCACATACCCACAAGGCGTAATTGATGAAATCGACGAAGGGGCTGTGATCCTCCCTCAACAGCAGCATCTGGCCAAGGATGTCATCTGCTCCGCTCCAGAAGATGTATTTGAGTGTCTTCATCATCCCAGCATGCCTTGTGGTATAGTCCTAGAAATTGCTCCACATATTCCTCCAATCCTCCCCTTATTTCTTCTTTTTTAAGGTTAGATCTTCTGTCACAACTTTTTGTGGTAAGAAATCATGCACCAAAAAGAATTTAAGTTAAATCGTCTTTTAATAATCAAACTAAACGCGTGTGGAGAAATGTGGAGATTCCATCAAATCCACAAACGAAACAGACGAGAACCGAAAAAAAAAAACTAAAAACTAGGGCCGCCCCCTAATAGTTGGCTAAATGTTAGTAGACTAGAAGAGGCTTAATCGACCAAAATTCTATTAGTCGGTTAGTTGCAGGACAAAAAAATCTTGTGGCGAAGTCACACAGTCTGTGAGGAACAGATAGTTAACGGCGGGCCACATTATTTCAGATTAAACAATTTGTAAGGTTGGTTGCTCTAAATTTGTACCACAATGACTCTGTTATCATATGTTGCATTTAGTTGCATCATATGTTGAATGGCAAGAGAGATGTAAGAAACATTAATGGAAAGTAATTTTCATGGTGATTTCTTTTACATACCTCCAGCTCTCCATTCTCAGCAGCGTCATGAAGAGGCGTACCACCCCAGCTGTCTGTCACTATTTCCCCTCCATGCAGGAGGAGCCAGCTGAGAACCTTGGAATGGCCACGGCTGGCAGCAAAGTGCATGGCACTGGCCCCATCATTGTCTCTGTCAGCTAGACTGATTTCTGTGAAACTCATCTATAGAAGCCAAAAAAAGTGAAATTCACATGAAGTCAGAAGTAGTTTGCACAGATATACTAAAATGTCTCAACACCCCATAAAACACGCCTGATCAAGCATCTACAGATATGATATTACAAATATTGAGACAACCAGCTTAATGGGACTTCAGAATCCTGCTCATCATAGTAGTCCATATGGCATATATGCTATAGTGGCTCAAATGATGCACCTTTAGGTTCAATTCTCAATAACGACAGGAAATGACTGAGGTGCCTTTGAGCACATAACCCCCAATCGCAGCAAATGGCTGCTCCAAATTTTTACAAGTAATTATACAGAATGAAGGATAAAGTAGTAGGTTTTTTTTACAATATAAATCCTTTCAAAGCAGCTTCACATTAATAAGTCAGTAAAATAGCAGTGTCAAAGCTGTAAAGCAGCTTTACAGAAGATTATAGTGTCATTATTATTTAGCTCAATGCTGTTTCAATTCAGTTCAATAACTGTGTTAGTATTGCCAAGTCCATTAATCAAGTTCAATTCAACTATAAGCAGCTATCCATCTCAATTCATTTAAAAAAAAAATTCTCCTCCTATAGGAAAACCACAGAAAACTCAGGAGTTCCTAAGGAGCTAAAGCAGTCCAAAAATGTGAAGTTTTAGTTGTACAACAATAACGAAACAAATAAATTTCTATATTTTTAATTTGAAATGGTCACAGATTTTGATGTTTTTGTAACAGTTGCTTATTTTTGCTGGAGAACTTGTACGTATATGTGGTATGTATGTTTTCAGCAAAGTGAAAATAATTTTCTGTAATAATCAGCATTTTCTCGATAAAGCTTAACTTGTGTTGAACCCGGGAAAATTATATAACAACATATTTTAAATTGTATACATTAAATAATAAAGAACTCATCTAACAAGGCAGCTCACCAGCCAAACAATGACAGTGTTGTGTCCCATTTGGGCAGCAGCGTGCAATGGTGTCATCCCATCATTGGCTCTGATACTTGGCTCCGCCCCACAGTCCTTCACTAGGTACTGGACAACTTCCAGGTGGCCCTCCTGACATGCAAGGTATAGTGGTGTGGCACCATTCTTGGTTTGAAAATTGACAACTCTAAAACACAAAGAAAAACACAAAATCAAGGAAATTATAGCCCTACAATTAAATAATAGGTGATTAGAGATACAAAAGAATGTTTAATGTTGTTTCTATATAAACAGTACCTCTATCTTAGTCACATAAACATCCTTCTTGGTATAAAAATGTGGAACAGCAGCAAAAACCTAACCCATCATAATTATGTGATTTTATGACACGAGACTCTTCAATGTTTTCAATTGCAGCATTGCTGCACATTTTTGTATACTGATATTTCTGATGACAATATCCAGTTAAGACAGCTCTAAGGGCCAGATGATCGACAACAGAAAGCAGCGAGGGGGCCCAACTAGCCTTACAGCTAATTGGATAATATTTTATAATATCTCACCACCATGATACTAGAATATTGTGAGTGTTGAGCCACTGGTTGCTAGGTGGATGCTTGTGGTATTCTGAGTAGTTGTTAGTGTCATGTCTTGTTTTGTTTTTGTTTTATGGTCTTGTTTCATGTCTCTGTCATGTGATTCCCTGTTCTAGTCTTGTGATCCTGCCATGTATCCTGTCCAATCATTGGTTAATTGTCTTGATTATGTCCACAGGTGTCCCTTGTCTTGTCATTTAGCCTTGTGTATTTAAGCCCTCATGTTTGCCTTGTTCCTGGTCAAGTATTGTTTGGTGTAACCATTGTTGGTTAGCCCCATGTCCATCCTTTTTTTGTGTTTGATCGTGTTTTGAATAATATTAAACTGCACTTGGGTTCTGCAAACTTGCCTCCAGTGGATCAATGTTACAGTTAGTATGGCAGTACACACCACTGTGGTTCCAGAGGTCTGGACCTCTGTATTTTTCCGAGGTGTATAATAAAAGTCATAAAATAATTGCCTAATAATAACTGTGCTTTGGTGCTATAAGATATTTTATAACGCCAAGATCTAATGAGCTGATCAGCGCTTGTCAATGTCCAAATTACTAAGATGCTAATGACAATCAAATCAAAGATGGAGGTCATTAGTGTTACTTTACACAGAAGAAGAGCATGAATTCCAACATGCTTCCGTTTTAACAGCCAAAAAGTGAGATGTAAGATAAAACATTTAATATTTGTGTTACAATAAAAATGTTAAACAACCAACAGCGATATCCAGGCATGCAAACAACTCAACAAGAGACATTTTTAGCATACTGGGCATAGGTTAAGAATGAACGTGTGCATGAACTAAAAGATGGTAAAAATAGGTTGACTGCAAAAAAATACAGCATTACTGGTCACCACAAAAAGGTATGTTTTGCATGCTGGTTGCTGGTTTGCTGGTCACCAGCATGGGAAGCAGTAGTGTTGGTGAACCAGATACACCACTTCAGTTTTGCTTGAGAAGAGCACAACTAGTTTATCAGCTACACCAGCACTATAACAGCCCTAACCAGCATAAATGAGCCTGGACCAACATTGAATTTATGCTGGATTTTCCGCAGGGTTATGGTCAGGCACATGCACAGGGGGTGGCTTGGTGGCCAAAGCAGCCGCTCCTTTGCCGTCCTGGGCTAAAGATGCCCCTATGGAAAAGCATTCATTCTCCCAGGTGTGCCTTGTTGTCTTGTTACCCTTTTTAGCCCTGTGTCTATACTGTACATAGCCATTGTCTTTATTTTGTTCTCTGTCAATTGTTGTATGTAATGGTTGCCTTGCTCTCGCCGTGTTCCTAGTTTGGCATTTTGTACCTAATATTAAAACTCCTGCAAATAGATTCCAGTTTCTGCCTACTTTCCATTGTTCCCCTGTAACAATTATCTTTTTGTATATTCACATTATTGATGACAAGATGGCAAAGTCTAAATACCTTTAAATGCTCAATCACATTTTATTCCAAATTTCAAAAAAGGTCCCAAAGATATTGTTGACCCACTGAGACAAATTGATTCAACAGTCCAGTGTTTGCCTTTCTGAGGGGAAGCATCCAGCATTAATGACTGTCCCAGATCCTTCCTCAAAGTCACAAGCAGGAGTTCCAGGAGAGAACAGGATTCTTCCTATAAATACCATAAAGCTCAGCTTTATTTGGACACAGACTGACAAGGCATCAATGAGTCTTTTAAGAGGATCAGCGCTACTTCACTCTCTGTATTCATTCGCTGTAATCACCAGCTCTTTACAAAGGACAAACTATGAGGATTGTTACCAGAGGAAAAGTGATTGTTTTCTCCGTGGCTCATGTCCAACTTTACATAAGTTGCTCTTGTATCCCCTCATCCCCTAAAACAGTGTTTCTCAACCTTTTTGGAGTATTGGACCCCTATAATATCTGAAACCAGCCTCATGGACCCCCCTACCCCTGTTCTCACCCGCCATCCACTGTTTTCTTTCCTATCACAATGATTTTCACAGTTAAACGCTATGAATGCAATATCAGTGAATGCAAGTTAAGTAATTAATATTTTTTTTAATGACTGGCAACTAGAATTGCATCTGGCCATTTAATTTGATTGCATTGAAATGGCACAAAACATTACACAATCAATCACAACAACATTGTCAATTTCAGAACAATATTCTACTGCATTCTGTAAAACATCACATGTCCATTAATGTCCAATTTGAGATTAATATTTTAACAAGATCCATTTGAATGTTACTTTCTTTTGTAAAATGTACACTTTTTTAATACTAAAATTTCATTCTACTGCATTAAAATTACACAACACATGCTTCATATACAACCAATTCTTTGGAACAATATTCTCTTTCAACACATGGAACAGTTTCAACACTGCCATCTATGTAATTTGACATGTCCATCTGAATGTTATTTTACTTGAATCTTTTGTTTAATGTGAAATTTGCACCTGTTTATCACAAATAAGCTTGTGCATCCTGGGGTGAAGTGTAGCAACAGCAGCAATAAGGTTCCTCTCCAAGCTGAGTCTGTTTCTCTGTTTTGTCTTTATGTGTGCCATGGCTGAAAATGTGACCTCACACAAATAGGTTGATCCAAAAGGCAGCAGTTCATACAGAGCTTGTTTCCCAACATCAGGGTACTCCTTTTCAACATTGCACCAAAACTGTGTCAGTGATGTTTCTGAAAACATTATTTTCAAACCCCTATCTGAGGACACATCAATAAGTCTTTCCTGGAGAGTAACAGGAACGGTCTGTGTGCAGGTAGCCACAAAAGGGTTCCTTATCCAGTCAAGTGCAGAATTATGAACCTCAATGTCAGGAAAATATGATCTGAACTCAGAGGAAAGTTTGTCCAAGTGTGCCTGTACTGTCTGCAGAATGCTCACTTTTTCAGATCTCACATTAACAAGGCACATGTCCAGCTGAGGGAAACTACTGACATCCCCATTCTGGCATTTCCGACACCAGAGCTCAATTTTCTTCATGAACCCTGAAACTCGATCATACAGGTGTAGGACGGTTGTGTCTTTACCTTGCAATTTCAAGTTCAAGTCATTCAGCCTGCTGAAAACATCTGCCAGGTAAGCTAAATATGCCAGCCAGCTGTTGTTCTTCAGCAGTGGTGCAAGTGAATGCAAGTGCTCAGAGAGAAAGTCACCGACTTGATCCCATAACTCAAACAGTCTCTGGAGTGTTTTTCCCCTTGAGAGCCAGCGTATATCAGTGTGAAGCAACAATTGCTGGTGTTCAGAATTTGCTCCATCACATAGTTTTTCGAACAGTCTGGCATTTAGAGGTCGGGATTTAATGAAGTTTATGATTTTAACAGCATCATTAAGGACTTCGTGTAATTTGGGGCACATACGTTTTGAAGCTAAAGCTTCTCTGTGAATTATGCAGTGAACTGTCTTAATGCCAGGGTTTACCTGTTTTACGCGTGCGAGGAATCCACGGGCGCGCCCCGTCATTGACGCTGCACCGTCCGTGCAGATATGTGAGCAGCGCTGCCAGTTCAACGAGTGCTCCGTGAAAAAAGAATCCACAACATTAAAAACATCCTCGCCGGTGGTTCTGGCCAGCATTGGCTTGCAGAAAAGAATATGTTTGGTGATATTATCTGTGTCCTTGAAGCGAACAAACGCTACCAGTTGTGATTTGCCACTAACGTCAGTTGACTCGTCTAATTGTAAAGCAAAACAGTCAGACCGCTTTAATTTCTCCACCACTAGCGCAAGGATATCCGCAGACATATCATCAATCCGACGGCATACAGTGTCGTTGGATAAAGGCACCGTTTTAATTGCATCTGCTGCCTTCTTGTCTAACATAGTTTCTGCTAGGATGGCAGCTGCTGGCACAATTAATTCCTCAGCAATTGAGTATGGTTTTTTCGATTTGGCTACAAGCAAAGATACCTCATATGAAGCAAGCAGGGAAGAACTGGTCATCTGTGTTGCCTCTTTTAGTGTGTCTTGACTTTTCCGAAATTCAGAAAGTTTTCTGTAGAAAAAGTCTGCAGATTTACCTACATATGAAGCATGTCTCGTTGTCAGATGTCGCTGTAAATGGGATGGTTTCATTGCGTGGTTAGACAGGACCTCACCACACAAAAAACATAATGGCTGTGGAGGCTCAGTCGTTGTTGTGGTAAACCCAAACATTTTGTAACTGTCTTGATATTGACGTGCTTTTGTTCTGTCCTTTTTAATTCGCTTTTCTGGTGGGCTGGAATTTACTTGTCTTGTGTCAGACCCGCTGGTAGATGGCCCATCATTTTTTTTAAGCCACCTGTCCATGATTGCTGCTCTCCCCTATGCGACAGTTCTCTGACTGAAATCAACGCGCTGTAAACTGGCTAAATTGAGTAAAATGGCGGCAAATCGCGGCAAAAATGAAAATGCACATGAGGTCATTTAAAATAATTTGTAATTTCAACCTTAATTCTGGTTTTAGTAATACTAAAGTAAACAATAAAGCTAAAAATAAATTTAGGATATTTAAAAAAATATATTTTTAAATGTTTTTTCGGACCCCCTACAATTATGTCACGGACCACTAGGGGTCCGCGTACCCCCGGTTGAGAAACACTGCCCTAAAACACCTTTCTCTAGAAAAG